TGGCTTATTTCATTAACGCTAACATTCCCAATATTATGTTTTCTAATAAATGCCTCTCACATTTCTTATTGTCATCTATGCTTTCTTCTTAACTGGAAGACAAGTAAAAATGCAGAATATAAGTTTTCTTGAGAACATAACTGGTTGGGATAATATCTACACATAAATACCTCCTCTTCTTTATGAAAACCTTCCCCTTCCTGAGAAGATCTTTAAAATGACACAAACCTTTTCAGGCCTCATATAGACTAATATTTAAAGGTGTGATGTTAGCACATGCAAAGCACTTGAGAAAGCACCATGGAGATGCAACCAGTTGACTTGGTACAATCTGTGTGTATCAGGCGCTTTTTGCTGCTCCAGATGAATAAAGCAGGGGTCCTCTTCATTGCCAGCAAGGGGTTGGGAGAGAGCGTGCAGCTGTTCTGTGGTCTGCCCGTTAACATTGTGTGTACTCGCTCTCTTTTGGGGGTACAGATGGAGGATAGACTTCACAGTTACCTCATTGTAACCATTTCCATATACTAAGGCTGCCAACATGAAGGAAACTCTGAACATAGGCACGAGGAGGAAAAGGTACACAAAGTGTTCAGATGTTAATGCCGCCCCTATGCGTTGGAAAGACTATGAACTGTGTGTGAAATATCTGACAGGGTGCGGGGTCGCTGTGAGTTTCCTCTATGTTGTTGATGCCATGGAATGTAGCCTGAACGTTTTCTTCAATGAGGATGCAGAGTTGCAGTAAATCCATAGACACAAAGTTGCTCCAATCCTGCAACTTTATTGAACGTGGTTTCAGGGGTCTAACTGTGCAGTTCTCTTTGCCGGATGAGGGCCTTGAATTAACAGATCAGTTTGGCTAAAAGTGTGAGGGCCAATCATGCAGTCCCTATACAAACAATACTGCCTTTAATGTCAACGTCCTTTCAGCCTATGTGGACTGCAGGACTTTGCCTGAATTGAACTTCAGTAATGAACCAAAGGTCTGTGAAGCTCAAAGATGGGGGGCTGCAGTCTGAAGCTACTCTCATAGAATTGATTGTTGGTGTTTAATGCTGAACACTACCCTGTGTATTGCATAATTAGCTATATTTTAGGGGTTTATCCCTTCCTCTGAACCATCAAGCCTTGACTGGAGACAGAATAACAGACTAGATGGACCCTTTATCCATCCTGACATGGCAGTTGAGTAGTTTTTTTATGTTTAGAATACACCAACTGATTATTAAAATGGAATATTTGATTTCTCCCTGGAATGTGCTGCTGGGTGAATTCTGTGGTATTTTATGTGGCTAATCAGCTGCACATGAACTCCCAGTGTGACACTGTGGCCAAAAGAGCTAATGCAATCCTGGGATGCATAAACAGGGGAATCTCTACTAGGAGCAGAGAGGTTATTTTACCTCTATATTTGACACTGATGTGACCACTGCTGCAATACTGTGTCCATTTCTGGTACCCTCATTACAAGAAGGATGTTGCTAAATTGGAGACGTTTCAGAGAAGAGCCACAAGAATGATTAAAGGATTAGAAAACCTGCCTTATAGAGAGAAACGCAAAGAGCTCAGTCTATTTAGTTTAACAAAGAGAAGGTTAAGGGGTGACTTGATTCCAGTCTATGAGTACCTACATGGGGAACAAATATATAATAATGGAAGTTGAAGCTAGACAAACTGAGAGTAAATTGTAAAGTGTAAATTTTTAACACTGAGAGTAGTTAACCATTGGAACAATTGACATGGGGTTGTGGTGGATTCTCCATCACTGACCATTTTTTAATTGTCATGATTGGATGTTTATTCTAAAAGCTTTGCCCTAGGAATTATTTTGGGGGAGTTCTCTGGCCTGTGGAGGTCAGATTAGATGATCACAGTGGTCCCTTCTGGCCTTAGAATCTATGAATGTATGTACCAAGCCTATTCTCAGGAGTCTGTAGTAAGGCCCTCCTATATTATCTCCCATTATGCAGAATTCTCTCTGGGTTTCCATGGAAAGTTTTACATTGGCCTCAAAATTCTTCTCTGCCTTTTACCTATGACTGAGAGTAGTGTCAGTTCGCCATCAGATACGCTCTCAAGGCAGAAACTGAATCCCAGTTCACCCACTCTTTTATGTTCTAACTGGTTAATCTGACTCCATCCTATAATGAAAGGCATCACATACATCAATCTTTTCATTAGTTTATTTATTATTTTAGCAAGACCTACTTGAAATACGTTTCCTGCCCCTGAAGCCTGTCTTATAGTGGGTTCCTTGTAACATTTGTGTCATTCTTATTTGCAATGAATTTCTCTCCCTTCTTCATATGCTTTTCCAATCATTTCATTGTCTCATGACAAAATCCTTCCAGTTTTTCTCAATACTGACTGTATGTTGTGCAAGATTATGAAGGATTCACATGAGGCATGAATCGTGGAGGACTGAAATGCTCCCAAACATTTGCCAGAGACATCTCAACACAGTCTTCTGAATCTACCTCCTCATGTGTTTTGCTTGTGTAGCTGGCAACTCCTCGGCATTCCAATATTTCTCCCATGTGCGCACACACAATCAAAATTATATTTCTTAACATAACCCTATACTCAGACTTTAGAATTTCCAGTATCAACAGTTGGCAATTTTCATCTAATGAAGTTACAAGACAAGGGTCAGTTTTCTTTCTTAAAGGGTCTATTACCTAATCTGGATTGTAAAATATTTCCTTTATATTTAGCTTGACAACAGCATGGATTAAGCCCATTTCTGTAATCAATCCCATAAAGTGATTTAGGGCTCAATCCTCCCAGGGGCTGAGCATTGTGGGCCCACTGCAGCAAAGCACTAAGGCTCCAGTTCAGGAAAATATTCCCATTTAAAACAACAGTAAGCGTTTGTTGAACTTTAAGCATGTACATAAGCATGACTTCAATGGGACTTACGTACATGCTTAAAGTTAAACACAAGTTCAAGTGTTTTGTTGGATCAGGGCTAGAATACTCAGCAGCTGATAAAGAACTTAATAATATCTCTGTTAGGTTCTGAAAAAATGAATAATGGTGAAATAATTTATCTTGCAAGTTTTAGAGTTCAGTCACTACTGGATAGAAACTAATGCGACAATCAATGTATTTTTTACAAGAATCTAAAAACACATAGAATGTGAAGAAGGTATTGAACCAGTTTGTGGAAAACAGAAATAGGTGTCCAGAGAGGAATAAAATAGTATGAAAAACAGGAGGAAAAAAGTCTTCAACAATGTTTAAGGCTTGCTTCAGATATCACATAAGCAAAGTCAAAGGTGGCATATTTATCTCGCAGCATGTGATTACTACGAAATATACAAACTTTTACATTAGAATATTTGATGATTCTCTAAATGTTCCATTTTACCTCAAAGAGATGCAACATCTCTAGTCAACAAGGACTTGATTCAAAGCCTTTGGGAATGTTTCTATTGACTTCACTGGGCTTTGGATCAAGCCCTGAAGGAGTTTGTACCTGCAATAATGTGAATATATTTGAAATTTCCATTTCTTTTTCCTATAGCACACACGTGGTCTTTTTCAAATGCTGAATCTTTCCTCTCAAACCTATTAATTTAGGCCAGTGTACAGTCCAGTCCTGCACTGAGCTCTGCACAGCTGGACTCCTGTATTCCCATGGGCTTAATGTAGGATCAGGACCAGCATGTCCAGTTGCTGCTCCATTCTTGTTTAAAGTTGCAAACAGAGACTAGATTAACATTTGAGCCTTTGATGTGCCCCAGTTCGATTGTCTGGTCTCTGAATTTCTTCCATATGAATTATAAGGCTGTTAAGCTTTTTTGGAAAGGAAAAGAACTGTCTACTTGTGAAAAGAGCTATTAAAAATCCCTTTTCTCCCCTTTAAAGAATAAATAATAAATGTTTCCAAAGCCAAATAATTAACAGAGGATAGCAGAGAGAGCTCTGCCTTTTCCACAAGGTGGCATGGGGCTGCTCAGTGGTGGTCAATCTCCAGGGCAGTCCTGGTACAGTGATCCTGTTGCGGAAGGGAATGGTTTAGGGATATAAACTGGCCATCAATAAATTTAGACTTGAAATTAGACGAAGGTTTGTAACCATCAGAGGAGTGAAGTTCTGGAACAGCCTTCCAAGGGGAGAAGTGGGGCAAAAAACCTAACGGGCTTCAAGACTGATCTTGATAAATTAATGGAGAGTATGTATGGTATGATGAGACTGCCTACAATGGCATGTAGCCGATCTGCGACTGCTAGTAACAAATATCTCCAACGGCCAGTGATGGGACACTAGATTGGGAGGGTTCCAAGTTACTACAGAGAATTCTTTCCTGGGTGTGTTGGTCTGCTGGGTCTTGCCCACATGATCAGCGTCTAACTGATTTCCATATTTGGGGTCGGGAAGGAATTTTCCCCTGGGTCAGATTGGCAGAGACCCTTGGGGTTTTTGCCTTCCTCTGCAGCATGGGGCCTGGGTCACTTACAGGTTTAAAAGAGTGTAAATGGTGGATTCTCTGTAATGTGAAATCTTTAAACCATGATTTGAAGACTTCAGTAACTCAGCCAGCGGTTATGAGTCTATAATAGGAGTGGGTTATATGCTGGCGATCAGACTAGATGATCATGATGGTCCCTTCTGGCCTTAAAGTCTATGTGTCTGTCATCCTTTCATGAAGGTTAGGGGACAGTGTGTATCTGTGTGGGATGGGGGGGGGGCTTAAACCTCTCTCCTCTGCTGCCCAAGATCCGAGTGTCAAAAGGACAGTCAGTGCCAAGAGGGCAGCCCAAGGATCAGAAGCCTTCAAACAGAAAAGGGGAAGAAGCAACCAAACCCAACCCCCTTGTAAAAACAAACAAACAAACAAAAGAAACATTGCAAAAATCATACTTATTTCTTCTCAGAAAGAGACTCTCATGTTGCATGTGACTGAAATATCAGAGTCCTGTCAGTCTGCATCTCTTAGAACAGATGCCATATTGTGTTTTTAGCTATAAATTAACACTCCTTCCCGCCCCCCACAGACAATAAAGTTTCGGGTGGAAACAACCACAGCTCATCAGTCACTACTTCACCTTCAGCGATGAATGCTACTATCACCAGTGTAACACCAGCAATAACAACTGTCACTCTCACAGAAACGATGGAGCCTAAAACTATTTCACCAACACCAGAAGGTATGGGAAATTGATTTGAACTTGCTAATTATTCTCCATGCTCTCTGCAATTTCCATTTGCTGATGTGCTTTAGTGATTGAATTTACAAGACGTGAAAATGAAACTTGCTTTAAGCAGGCACCGAAAGGATGATTTAGAACAGGCTCTCTCATCGAAATGGGCTTTTAATTCATGATTAAACCAAAATGATATTTTAGAAATGAGTCCAGTATGGAACCACGGATGTGAACCCCAACTTGTCCCCAGGCTCCTGAAATACTTCAGTATTCCAGAGGCTGCTTCCAGCTCCTATCTTTATAGTGGACCCAAATCCACTCACCTCTGTTCTTTAGAGAAGTGTGGATTTAGATCCAAGACTTGCAGCTTGAACCCATCTTTGCTTTAAAGTGAATGCTTAGGAGGAGCGGTCTGATCACTAGATCTGGGACTGCAGGCAGGCTAAACTATAATGATCAGATGCCCTGGTTATCTCACATGTCTCTGCGCTCCCTTTCTGAATTCTGCATACAGCATCTTTAAAGGTAAGATGTCTGCCTTTCTGCCATAGGCCAGGAGCCTGAGGGGATTCAAGCGGAAGGATCTTAAAAAGAGACACATACTCTTCCTTTTTTTTTTTTAAATCAACAGATCTATTTGTTTGAGGGCTCTGAGTGCAGTGAGAAGGCAGGGGTGGCACTGGGGAGGTCAGCGTTGGGGGGTGAGCCAGGCAATATCAGCGTTACACTGTGGTAGAATACACACAGAATATTAGCCTACTGTAAGCAGCTTATATGCATGTAACAATTCGGTAACTATGAAGCAAATCTAATGTGCATGTTTTCTACAGGCGATAATACATTCTAGTACCACTGACTATAACAAATCAATATTGCAGTTCAGTCACTACAATGACAAGCTTTGATTCGAGAGGCCTTAAGCATACTCCTATTTTTTTCTATGTAGGAAAAGCAAGTACTACTGAAATGAGCAAAGTGACTGAAGACACCAGCCCTGCGACTTCCGCAGGACCCACCCAAACACACATGGCTGTGTCAGACCAGTCAGTGTCAGTGAAAACATCTCCCGATTCACAGCCGAACACATCACATGCTCCTTTCAGCACGACCGCACAAGCCATGACTTTGGAAATGGTTTCGACAGCCACTACTACTGTCCTCACAGAGCAAACTTCCCACTCAGCTACCACAGGACCCCCACCTAGTAGCACAGTGAAGGTAGGAGGAAGTGCTTGACTATGCATTTGATGAGCTATGGTGAGCATGTTGTTCCTG